CCCCATCCCTGGCCCCATCCCTGGCCCCATCCCCAGCCCTGTCCTCCTGCCATCCCCGGCCCCATTCCCATCATATCCCCGTCCTCATTCCATCATGTCACCATCCCTGTCCCATCCCCATCCTGTCCCTGTCCCCATCCACATCCCGGCCCTGGCCTCCTCCTGGCCCTGTCCCCATCCCATCCTATCCTGTTCCTGTCATGTTCCTGTCGTGACCCCATCCCTGTCCTGTCCCTCTCCCATTCCCACCTCTCCCCATCCACACCCCTCTTTCCCGCCGTCCCATCTTGTTCCCATCGGCACGCGCTCCCCATGTCCCCATCCCCACACAGCGCTGTCCCCACACGGTGCCCCGTCCCCACGCGGTGCCCCGTCCCCGCACGGTGCCCCGTCCCCACGCGGTGCCCCGTCCCTGCACGGTGCCCTGTCCCCGCTCAGTGCCCTGTCCCCACGCGGTGCCCCGTCCCCGCACGGTGCCCTGTCCCCGCGCGGTGCCCTGTCCCCGCACGGTGCCCTGTCCCCGCTCAGTGCCCCGTCCCCGCGCGGTGCCCTGTCCCCGCACGGTGCCCTGTCCCCGCACGGTGCCCCGTCCCCACGCGGCGCCGTCCCCGCAGGCCACCCGTGGCTGCAGGAGCGGGCCAAGGTGGCCCGGCTGCAGGGGGACCTGGAGGTCGCCTTCCGCCTGCTGCTCCGCAGGAGCCACCGCGAGGGCATCCTGGCCAAGGTGGCACTGCCGGGGGCGGGGGGAGCACGGCAGGGGGCCATGGGGGGTCACAGGGGTGCCCTCCTCACGGGACAGGGACCTCGGGGGGGGATCTTGGGGGTCACAGCGTGGGGGGAAGCACGGGGGTGCCCGTGGGGGTGCCATAGGGTGCTGGGAACCGTGGGGTGTCACTGGGGGGCTATGGAGGGGAACTGGGAGTGCTCCTGAGGGTGCCCTTGGGGGTGTCATAGAGAGGGGGGAACCATGGGGGGTGTCACGGGGTGTCAGAGGGTGGGGGGGACCCTGGGGTGGGGGGTGCGGTGGGCACAGGGTGCCGCGGGCTGAGACCTGCCAGCTCAGCGCATGGGGCTGGGGCACAGCGGTGCCCGGGGTGACACACACCCGTGTGCCGGGGTGACACACACACGCTCTCCAGGGGACACACGTGTTCCCCGGGTGACCAATACACCTTGTGTGGGCGACACTCGCGTGTTCCCTGAGTGGCACACGTGCATTGCTGGGGTTACATTTGTGCGCGTGCCCCGGGTGACACACACATGTTCCCCGGGTGACACTCGNTGACACACACATGTTCCCCGGGTGACACTCGCGCATTCCCGGGTGACACTTGCACGTTCCCCGGGTGACACTCGCGTGTCCATGGCTGACGCTCGCGCGTTCCCGGCTGACACTCGCGCGTTCCCGGCTGACACTCGCGCGTTCCCGGGTGACACTCGCGTGTCCCCGGGCCGCGGTGCAGCTGCCGCCCAAGGGGCGCCTGCGGGCGCTGTGTGCGCGGCACGTGGAGGAGCTCCAGGCCTTCCGGCGCCGCCACCCCGGGGGGCCGCTCGCCGCCTTCCCCCCCCTCTACAAGGAGCTCTTCGCCTGCGAGCCCGAGCCCCCCGGCGCGCCCTGAGCCCCGGACGCCTGGGCCCCTGGGTGCCCTGGCCGGGCTGCGTCACCCGGAGATGCTCTGTCACCCCGCGGGGCTCCGACAGCCGGAGGGGCCCCCACACGCGGGGCGCCGCGTCACCCCGCAGCCGGGGTGTCGTGGCGCCCGGCCGCGCGGCGGCACCCCAAGACGCTCCGTCACCCTGGGGGGCTCCGCCGCGCGGGGGTGCCCCAGGACGGAGCCCCGCGTGCCCGCGCGTGGCCAATAAAGACGGCTGGGGCCACCCGCGTCACCCGCGTCACCCGTGTCACCTGCGTCACCTGCGTCACCCGCGCCCGGGGCCCCGGCGTCCGGGCAGGCCCGGGAACCGTGGGATCCCCCTCCCACCCCAGGAACCGTGGGATCCCTCTCCCGCCCCAGGAACCGTGGGATCCCTCGCCCCCTCCGGGAACCGTGGGATTCCCCCCCCCGGGAACCGTGGGATCCCCCCCACCCCAGTCCCGTCCCGGAATGATCCGGTCCGCGGGGGCGTGCCGAAGCCGCCCTTCTTGCCTCTGATTGGCTGTCGCGTGCTCCCGCTGCGCTGCCATTGGCGGCTTTATTCCCAGGCTGGTGCCCCTGCCCTGCCCCTTCTGCTCGCTCCCCTCTTCGCGGATTGGCGGCGCCCAGTGGGCGGTCGTCGGGGATTGGCCGGCGCTTCCCCGGTGGCGATTGGTGCGGCGGGGAGGCGGGCGGGTTATGATTGGAGGGAGGG